ACAAAGTTCACTGATGATTTTGGGGAATTATTTACCGCTACAAGATCTTAAAATTGTTTTACTTCGTGTGGCAGATAATTAACTCCACAATCTCTCCCTCAAGGAGAGAAAATGAAACATCAGTTAGTAATTATCTATACAAGTGTGTAATAATTATTTGTAATAGTAAATAGTATTTCACAATGACCGAATCACAGTAGATCAACCAACAACACAGAGAGGGATGAATTTATGAATTTGTATTTGGCGGTATTATTTTGTAATTCACATGACAAATATTAACAAACAACAGTGAGTATTTAAACATACAGTAATAATACAGTAATAGTAATAATAATACAGTAATTGTCAATCAAAACAAAGTTTTAGTTTTGTTACACGTGTATGAGGTGACACATTTGTGTAATTTCTGTGGAAGAGCACGCATAACTGAGAGGAACGTGGCATGTTGACTAGGTTGTCCTATATTCATGGAAGTCAGCTTCAGCTCACGGAAACCGTGTCTCTCTATTTTCTGGCGAATGTTTCATGAGCTGAACTGGTATGTTAGTCAGTATGTGACCTATGCGTTTTGATGTCTGGTCATACACGAAGACAACGGCTTAAAAAGCGGTGAACCTATTCGAAGAAGCTCACAGAAGTGAAGTGAATGTTGGTTACGTGCTTATCAGTTTGAAGGAGAAGGAAGGTATCGACGACAAGAGAGGATGCTCAACCATTCGACTCAGACAATGAAGATCTGAACTCAGTTTGGATGACGAGGCTGTGTAGTAGTAATTTTGGAGAACTGTATACCACTGCAACGAGAAATATTCCTCAGACTCTAAGGGAATATTAAATTACTTACTATCTAACTACAGTCTGTATCATTGAAATCAAAATCAAGTTCAATTTAAAATCTCTGTGAAGTGTATAAGGAGTATTCATTTGTTTTTACAATATATTGTAAGCCACTCGTTACGTTCCGAGTGGAACATAGGACGTCAACGGCACAGTCGTTTTGCACGTGGTTATCTGCCACCACTTTCAACCGTCTCCGTGACTGCCAAAAGACTTTCATTCCCTCTACATATGATTTTCTTCTCACCTACTCCTCACTTGGATTCCTCTTAATGACCTAGCGTGTTGTATTACTTCAAGATCTCCTCAGTGTATGCCTAATAAATCGCCATTTCCTTTCAGCCTTCTCGGTAAATGCCAAAATATGTTTGTTAAACCATGCTATGGAATTAGTGATAATCACAGCACCATTTTAGAGGAAGAAAACTTCAGAGGACATGAATCAATTTAAATGCAGGATGTTAGTCAAATGTGTTGATGATAATAACAATGAACGAAAAATCCTCGTTTTCGCTCTGTATTGCAACAAGATCATCTGGTGGGGGTTACCAGCTATGAAGCGAAGCACTACACAGTAACATGAAATGAGAATATCGCGGTATGGTTTAGTTCGATTCACAAGGTACAAACAAATGAGAAACAACTTAAACATTCATTCTTTTACTGCCACATTTTGATTCTGTACTGAGAGTAAATGTATTTATTATACAGACAGAAATTTTCCGAATTCTATTCACAAAGGTTTCTTCACCACTGTGCCCATATACTGTTTCTCTGTTGTCATCAGATCACAGTGCTAGAATGTGTCACTTGCTCTACTCTAACGGCTTTGTTTGTTCTCCCGTTTTATCGACTAAGATATACCGAATTGTCTAGTTTCAACGCTACGCTACTCCCTTTTTGTTTACTGAGTAAGTTTTTAGAAAGAAGTCTAGGTTAACCTTGAAAATTTACTAGAAATTAACAAAATCAGATCGAAATGGCCAATTGACACGCAGTCAACAGACTGTGTAGTTATGAAAATCATAGAATTGTCATCTTGATTTATTCTACGAAGTTTATCTTCTTGATAGAGGTCAGTCAGTCAGTCAATAAAACTGTTTATGATTATGCACGTAAAATAGTCTAGATTATGAAAACTTGAGTTCTTTATGTACAAGTGTCAGCAATGTCACATGCTCACAGATTTATTCTGACTAGTTGCCTTGATTTCACTTTATTACAAAACTACAGCACTGGATTGATGTGTACTTGTTTTAAAGAACAGATTTATGAGGGAGATATGATGAAGAAAATACTGATGATTTGTCGGATTACAGCTTTTATGTCACCAATGAATAATATTGAAGTTACTAGTTGAAGTGAGGTGTGCGTCGGTGGTATGGCGGTTAGGACGCTCGCCGGGCATGCACATGGTCCGGGGTTCGATCCCGGCCACAGGCGCACTCCTTTACCTCGCTGAACCAGAAATAATTCTGGTAAAGAGGGAAGGTTGGGTCAGCATGAGGCTAGCAACCCCATCCTGTAAAAGAAACACTGCTACAAAAACTTCAAGCCACTAGCTTGAAGTCCTGTGTTCCACTGGGGAACGTGAAGGAAGAAAAAACAAAGTTAAAGTGAGGGAAAAGAGGACTGGAAAAACCGAGTATATCTACTGAGCAGGACATACATTCAGCTGTAGGTGGTCAGATTACTGTGGAGAAATGACCTCATTTCATTTTCAACATTTATTCTCAAATTGTCAGGTGTAAGTTTGTAGGGATTTCATTTGTGAAAAGTCCGATCACGGTTTGATGTCAGTTAGGGAAGCAGAGAAAAAACCAGGGATTACTGGAAAGCTGGTCAATACTGGTTTGGGAACCCACGGAGATCGAACACAGGACCTTCTGGTCACACGGTCAAGCTTGTTGATCATTTTACTATTCCAGCCGAATCCAATGGCTTGTAAGTATGGGTTGTACTCGAGATTGACCTCAAATAACCGCAGTAACTGAAGACTTCTCCTCTGAATACCCTTAGGAATACTCGTTCTAGCGTGTAAGTGCTGCTTAACGATCGAGCTCAAAGTAAGTAGGCTTGAGACTGGGTAGTGTGTTCTGATGAGAGCCGTGTTTAAGACAGATGAAGTATCAACTTAAATAAATAATGAGAATGTTGTACAATTTATCTAACGCCTCGGCTGGGTAGTAAGCTCGAAGAGTGCGCTGAATGGTTTATAATCGTATCTAATGAGGGTGTCAAAGCCAGCCAGCCAGTTTTTTTTTTTTTTCAGTTTGGGAATCTGGTGCTGTCAGCATAAATTCAGATTTCCAACGCTAATCTGAAGTTATTTCTTCTATATGTTTGTAGAGACTTCATGTGACTGAAAACGTATTGGCAACAAGCTACTTGATACTTTGACCAACAGCTGACTATCTACTCTGGCTCTATGTCAGAGATCAAATCGCCTACCGTAGCGGGTCAGCCAATCGAAAGGAAATCGCAATTGACTAATCTGATTCATCAAACTACCAGTCTGTCAAAGCAGTTAACAAGAAATCGGTTGGTTTGAACTAATTCAGAACCCTCAGCTGAGTCAAACAGGGTACACCACTGATGAACTTAGTCTCAAACGAGTAAAACGGTCGGTCTTCGTTGTTTGGATCAACTAGATCTGGTGAGGAAGTACTACTGGTTGATGTAGGTAGTAGTATGTGTAGCGTCACAATTATATCAGATTTTCTTTGAAAATCATGTTTACCCTTAATACAGAACTCTCAGTCAGAGTAATCTCTTCCGGAATATTTACACTCTGTGTAGAATACTATTCATCGATAGCATACAGGACGACTCGATGTCATTTGATCTGAAACAACATCGGATTCTCTACGAATCGTTTCCTTCATTTTCTTTTCAAAGTACGCACAGCAATAGGTTGAAAGTCAACTAAACATTTTCACGAGTTCATGTTGTAATCCGGATACATAATTTGAAGATTAAAAGTACACGAAGAGGAGGAGAGAAGTGAATGCAGTTTCACTAAATGGAAATTTTGGTAGCCATTGGTTTAAGCAGGCAGATCTAGAATTCAGCATACTTGTAGTTATCACTTGATTGGACATAGGGACAGAGGAGAATTCACTCCGACATGAATGAATATCCGTAGTCCCACTGTGGGATGATGCTTAATCACAAAGGGTATAGAAAACAAAAAGGAAAACAACATAAAATTAGAAAGATGTTTGAGTAATATGTAAGATGACCTGTTCCACCGACAAAATGGTCGATAAAGATATGTTAAAGTGGAAGAAATCTAAAAGAAATTACAAGAAACTAAGTCCATGGTAGATGGATGGAATGAGATGACTAGACAAGCTTCTTTTTAACCATAGAACTCTGGCTTCCTCTGTTAAAATAGGCTTGACAGCATACAAGAAAATAAGGACAACAAATCATAACAGTAAGACACATAGATCATCTCAAAGACTGAAGGGCTCTAAACATTTCATATGAAAATATACATTTCTAGCCATGAAAACCACACCTGAAACTTCGTCTTCATTTGTAATTATGTATAATGGAGGAAGGAGGTTTGTGTTCTCTGTGTGTGTGGACACAACTACATCGAAGTGTAATTATGTCTCTTAACTTACTGATACGCGAATTAACAGACAAAGAAACAAACTGAATCAATTGTAATTAAAAAAGGGTTGAAAGTTGTTCACGAATCGTGACTGTAATTTATGGATTATAAAAATTTTAATCTATATTGTGACACATGATTGATTAAATTGTGTTTACAATATGACACGTGCAATGTGTTACAATGTGCTTCAATTTATTCATGCACTAATGACCTAAGTGATACTACAAGGCAAAAATATCTTTGAATGCATTTCGCTTATTTGAACTATTTATCATCGAACATGAGATGAACTATCACGCAATAATGTTACTTCCTTATTTGAGAAGACTATAAAAGCCTGACTGTTTGAATTGTTTTCGCTGTCAGCTAATAATCATTTGAGTAGCTTTTCTGAAGGATTGATATTTTCAGATTTTCAAAGAATGTCTTTGAAAGTGTTGTTAACGACAGTCTACTTGGTTTTCGTCTTTCTCTGTAACAATCAAGTACATCGACTGGTATTCACAGCCTTCGTTATTATGGCTATAATACACCAATGGGTTAGTTAGTAAAGTGTTATTCATCTTTGCATATATGATGATATGATTTAGCATTCATTAATGTATGTAGTGTTATGTAATTGGAAAAAATCGATTATTTTAGTAATTCTGTGTTTAATTTGTTACTTAATGACACTGAACTCTTTCCTACTCACTAACACCACAGTTGCGTGTCTTTCTTATTTATTCCATTTGACGATGAACTGTCAAACAGGATTAATAAACTGTCTCCCCCGTTTTCATTCAAGAGATTCCTAGTGAGGTTAGATTTTATTACAAGTCACCATCCATTAAACCACGCTTTACTTATGAAAGGAGATGGTCATGTCAAATTCGTTTATGAATTAATACAAGAACCTATTATAGTTGTCCCACGGTAACTTTTATCGGATTATCTATCTATGCTCGCTTAGAAAAGCCTAGTCAATCCATACATTTCTTTTAAAGACAATCTTACAGGTCGAGGTTTAGATTTTCATGTCAAGCATTCATATTCATGACCAGCAGATATTTACTATCCGTATTCATCAGTTCTTGGTTATAATTTACCTTCTAAGGTAGGGATGAAAGTGTTTTCGAAAATAAACAAATAGATGAAAGAGGTTAGATGAATGAAGGCAATCGGCAAGCCTTTGACCTAGGTTTCGCGCTAGTTGACACTCAACAGTCAGCAAGGCGTATCTGCAGTCACCATGAAGGAGCTCATGTCCTTTCTGTGGTTCAAAAGTGCGTCAGCCAATACCGTTTGCAGTTAGCGGATGTTACCACAGCGCTATTCAGGATTGCGATTGACCTCCATACTGTAGGACTGCACGAAACAGGGAACTAGACTTATCACAATAGTTACTAGTGCCCAATCAAAGATGAAAGAAGTATTTTATCGATTTACCTTAAGGACATGCTTCTCTTTTCAATTCGACATCCAGTAAGACTCAGCATATGCGCACGCCTACAATGTTTCTACCCTATTCAACCCAAATCCTTCGAATGTGTTATTTGGAATTTAAGGCTAATTTACGACTTATTTTCATAGATAATTCCGCCCTCCCCCACATATTAGACTACTCCGTGTATTCAGACTGATTTGAGATTTTCTCTCGGAAAATTACCACACGTGGGGATCACTTAGAAGGATACCAATACTGTGACTGATTTCTAATACAATCGAAATGTTTACTGAAATTGAACTGTTGTCACATTTTTCAGAGGTTGAACGCAGATATGATGCAGATTTATTTTTGAAGGGAACAGAAACCTCACCGAATAATATCACTGGGGTGACGACAAACGAAGCAGTTAACAAATCATCAAAGAATATACGGTTACCACAAACTGTATTTCCACGCTTCTATGATCTACAGCTTCAAGTTCACATTCATGGAAATGCAGATACTAAAGACTCCTATTTTAATGGATCTGTCACCATAGAGATTCAGTGTTTAGCAGCAACTGCAGAACTCTTTATTCATGCTTATCCCAATCTTAATGTCAGTAGGGATCAAATCAAAGTGAGTGATTCGATGTATACGGAAGTTTATTCTGGTTTTCTTTGATCTGTGTGACTGTAAGATGATTCGTTGTTACCTGTTGATTTCACGGCAGAAGTACTGTCATACTTCGTTTTCATTGTTGATGTTTCTCATTTAAGCTATGACAGTAACACTCATTATATATGAAGTTGTCGTCCATGTTGGACTAAATAGTCGTCAGTTGACAATAACACGTCACTTATCAATTATAGTCATCCAAGTATTCACAGTTAATGCTTTTGGAGGCCCCATACACTGCAGCCTGATGACTTATTCCTGAAAGCTTCTTCTAATCATGCAGTGAATTATGGATTACTTTTGTTTGATTATATTGCCATGAGATCACTTAAATTATTGGAATTACACACATTCTGAGCTTAAACTCTAAACTCATATTACTACTCGTAAGTGAAGTCCATCTAACATTTTTCTGTGTATGGAAGCTGTTAGTGCAGTAATAATTCATTGAAGGAATAATCTGCCTTACACAGTGTTTATATCGTAGAAAGAATAAACTTATCTTTCTACGACAAAGGGAAGTGGAGTGGAGACAGAAAGGAACCTTATAGTTTCAGCTCTTTGCAGGTTGAATTAAGGACTGGTAAATTTTCAGGAGTTGTTTTTAACAAATTTCCGTCTACTATATCCCCCTTGATTAAGTCATATTTGAGGGATTTGAAACTGAACTTATCTGAATGTTAACCTTTCGACAATGTCATGAAATATTTCAAAAGTAAGCCATCTGAACTGGATGTAAGGCTACAACACTGAACAAGATAAAAGCTTCGATAAAAGGATTAGTGCTTGATAGTACCTTCATGTCAAACACTGACCTTTCCCTTATAGATTAACATTGTGGAGTTTACTGTCCACCAATTATTCAACACTTTGCAAACGATATTGAAGGATGAATACATGGAATTCTATGCTTTGAAAATATTAAAGAAATGTACTCAGTTGAAATTCTAATTTTAGTCTACTTCATTCATTCTCAGATTTTCATTCGTTTAATGATGAACAACAGACTTTGTTGAGCTTTTACCCGTTAAACTCAAATAAGGCTGAATGTTAAATGATGAACATTCACATCAAGTAATTAAAATGTGGGCGACGATGTGCAGTAGTCTCTTTTCTATGAATAATTCAGTTTGACTCACTTTCACGACTCCCCTCCATCTTGTCTCGTCTTGTATAGATATTTTCAGACGATAAGGAAGATTCAAAGAAGACGGAAATTCCAATACAGACGATATCCTACGATAAAGACGCTGAATGGTACCACATACAGTTGAAAGATGCACTACAACCCAATGCAAGTTATAAACTGATATTTGGTCAATTTAATTCTTCACTAAACTACGAACCGGTAGGATTTTATCTGAGTCGATATGCAGAAAATGGAACTTATAAGTAAGTAAGTACTTTTATTCGAGATATTTAATAATCATCGGGACTAATTTGATTTGAGTCCTCTGTTGAATATTTTAACTTAGTTCAGCTCATAGTGACGTTCCCATTTGGATGAGTTTCAAAGCAAACCTTATCATTCATAGAATAATGTGAAGTTATACGCCACTAGAGTACTCGGATTCTATTCCTATATTAAGCGCGATTCATAGTGTACGGAGTGGGAGAGTGCCAGTAGTCCACTGACAGATTTTACTCTGTCTTTCACACATGAACAAAGAAGGTGTGACTAGAACTTCTTAACTCTTTACGGCTTAATTACCTACCATAATAAACCTTTGTTTCATACGATGTGTTAACACAGTGCGGAAATTTCCAACGTGTTTAGTTCCACAATATTTCGTCTTCGTACAGGATTTACACATAAGGTAGTAATCCGAAGTATATCATGTGACGTAGTGTTGTTGTATATGAAGACAGGGTCAATTCTGCATATTTTGTCTTCGTTTGCCTCAAGAAATGCACAATGTTCTGTTGAAAGGCGATTGAATATGTCCATGAGTTGGTGTAACAATCCTCTGATATAACTGCATGATTAAAATGCAGAAGACTTTAAGCAACATCTCGATGAATGAATATTCTTGTAGCCCATCAATTTTAGCAGGCCGTCGCCTCAAACACAAATATCATCTTCTTAATGTGAACGTCAGCTTGAAACAGCATCATATTTTAATCGAATTTTAATCTGATGTTCAGTAAAATCTATGGAGATGTTCAAGACAGAGTAATCTAATTTGAGTCTGTTGAGTATCAATCAGTTATTTCATATTTCCAAAATTTTAGCATCATTTTTCATTCACATCACTGTCCACCTCATCTCACTGGAATTTATCAGTTGGATTATTTTTCAAAAATTCTAATGAAGTGTAACTATCACTTAGTGTCATTACTGTCAATATCTTCTCAGATTTGCCAACCTTCAAAATGAAAACTAATTTTAAGAACGTCACTGACCAAGTTCTCGAAATTTACTCCTCGTATTTCTCATGTCAAGCAGTAATCCAGATATACTGGAGAAGATTTGTGGCCCATGTTGATATTTTGGTGTAGTAGCATTCTCTGAGCTGGTCTCAATGGCTACATTGTCTAAGAGGTCGTCTTGTAATTGAGAGGTGCTGGTTTCGAATCCCGTTGGGTGTACACTGCCGAAGAGTCCCAGACTAAGAGGAAACAGTTGTGCAATACTCACCTCATAGAGCGCAACTACACCAAAAATCAGTAATCAGTAATATGGTAGACACTTCAGTGTGTAATAAGATCTTCAGTAGGTGATTTTCCCTTCAAAATGGCGGTATTTGAAATAAACGAACTAGAGGAAATGAAAATAACGGCTTTATAATAGTGCTGCTCACACTCGATCAAGCAGCGAATAATCATGAGCATTACTGAAAGTCGGTTAACTAGGTTGAAACACCTATCATCATACACTGTAGTTGGTTGTTAGTATTTTGGTGAATGATTCAGTGACGTGATTAATATTATTATTATTACTATTGTTCCCTTGGGTTCCAAGTGGAACATAGGGCTTTAAGTACACATTTCCACTTTTATTTTCTGCTTTCCTGTTTGGCTGGGCCCACGATTGCCCGTAACATGTCATCTCCTCCCCCAACTCATACGATCTCTTCCATGTCACCCTCGCACCAACTACACACTCGTCGCTTCCCATTGGGATTCCACTCGATTGATGGCCTGCATTGAGCGCGATGTCATTCGACGGTCTCCTCAACGTGCGTCCGATCAATCCATCTCCATTTTCTTCTAAATATTTGTTGATCGATAGGTGCTTGGTTAATTTGTCGGCGGCCAGCGTTTCGTGTTATTAATTCTTCCTGGACATCTCATCTCCAGTATAGAGCAGTTGTTGACAAAAGTCTGCAAACCGTTGGCAAATGCTTTTCGGTGATGTGAAGTTAAATGAAAATTCGTCAATTTCCGATCAATCAGATACTAGAAAAGTGATAAATGGATGATGCCTGCCTGCCTTTCATTCTTGCAATGAAAACGCTACTCTTGTTGACAGTGAGTGACATATACATGATAGATCGATGGGACTTCTGTCTTATTACCAAAGCATTCAAAAAGGCACACACTGGAGACTGTTTCATGTGTGGTGAGAGCAGGCTGCTTGCCAATTTGTGGACATTAATTTACGTCAATGTCTTGGTCACCAATATTGGCCGTGAGAAAATACGCACAAGACTGATTCAACAACCAATCACGGCAGACTTAACGTGGGCAAATATGATCCGTCGATATATGGCTTAACTTTCCGAGAAACCAGTCACCTTGAGCAAGAAACAACCAATCAGAGGACTGTGTTTGTCTGCTTGAATAAGCTATAATGATGTACATGAAATATATATAAATACGTGCTGATTTGCGTAATGAAGCGATCTGTTGCCGGCCCTTGTCTTCTGTTGTTACACATGTATCTGAAGTAACCGGAAAAGCAGTGAAAATCAATGTCTCGGTTTTCAGTCCGAAGAAATCATACTGTAAATTTGCAAACAGACTAAGTTTCGTGAAATTATACACTCACACTCCCCAGGTAAGTACGTAAAATTATATATAACCACAGATTTCCAGGAAAATCCGATTATTGAATCTGCACAGACTCGAAGATATGTTAGTGGTCGTATATGTTAACAGCGTTTACTGTAAATATCCTGTTCTTGTCACTGCAAACACATTTTACAAAGACACAGTAGTGGTTCATAATTGATTGCTAATTCATGACGCAATTAAGTAGTATGTTTTCCCCCAAAGCAATCTGAGTGTCGCAGGAAATCAATAAATTAGGAAAAAGGAGCTAAACACCTGCAGTATCTTTGTCACATTCGATAGGAATATCTTTGGAAAGCCTACTTCAAATTCAACATGTTCAGCATGTTTGCATTGGGAATACATCTTGATTCAACAGAACATGACTGAGATTGTTACTGAGATTTTCCTTGAATTTTCGAAACAACTTTATTCCTTCAATTTGTATTACGATTTGTTTATCGTGATGTGCTCATTTCTCAGCCTCTCTCTGTCTCTCTCTCTCCTTTCCTAACTGGTTATACACTAAAATTCACTTGACATTTTGACGTTAACACAATGACGTGTATGCAGAGGTATATTGTAATTATCATGAATTGCTCACTTTATTGCTCCCCTCTCTCTTGTGCAAAAGTGAATAGAATAATTAACATCGAATCATTCACAAACACTTTCAATTAACTCGATATGCATCGTCTTTATTTCAGGTACTTAGCAAGCACACAGTTTGAGCCAACATATGCAAGACGTGTATTTCCTTGTTGGGATGAACCTGGATTTAAGGCCGTGTTTCAGGTATGTATACTATTGAGGTTCTTGTGTATTCTCTTTTTCTGTTTAATTGGGAGGTAGTTCGTTGAGAGTAAAGAGAATTGAAATGTTGCCTCGTCTGTGGATATGTGAAGGCATTTACGATCTATATATGTGTATAAGGATCTAGAATAGGTGTGTAGTCAATGGACCATAATTTCACAAGGGAAGCCAATTTGATTCATTTCAGGGTGTCAGAAAATATGCTGTGGTTATTAAGCAGGCCAAAGAATCGTCTATTGTTCCATTGATCATTAGTTCTTTCATATATCACTGTACGAATGAGTTACTAAGTATGAAGCGAGAATATGGGCTGTCTTTTATGGTATTCTAGCAGCGATCTATGGACAGGGACACACTCAACGTTATCTATTCGATTCGTGGATAGATCAATGTGGTGTCAAAATAATCTACAGTTGGAAGTTTCAAGTACTGGTTTGTAGAGATTTGATTGATTGGTTACAGAATTTCATCATGAGCTGATATCGCTTAGAGGACCTTTGGAAAACTAGCTGAGAGTACTGGACAGTCGGTTGTTTGGTCGTAGTAAGAGACTTTTCACAATACGTACCTACCGGGGTCTGAACTCAGGACCTTCTTTTTACAAGGCGATATCGTAGACCCTTAAGCCACTGGGACTCGATCCAGTAGCAAGCCCGTGAATTCCTACTTCCGTCAATTCACGAAATGGCGCGACTACTAGCGAATGTCATCCGTGGCGAGTACTTGTCCTCACACCAGACCTGCCATACCCTACTGGTCATGGCTTCCCATTAGAACCCGAGGTAACTACCTACCTGAATAAGATCAGTCGCTAGGCAGTTTGATTTTTCCTTATTTCGGGTAACTAGGATCGATCGAATCAGAATTATATTCATACACTAGAATCATTCAACGTCTTCCAGTGAAAAAACATCTATTGGTCATTATGTTTGTATGTATTAAGTACTTGATGAATGTACATAGGTGGAAGGGCACAGTCGAGGGCTGAAGAATCCGTTCCGCTCTTTAAGGGCATTAAAGTGCGTCTTCTCGCGATATTTCCACGTCTTAAAAGAAATCATGAAGTAAATTTTTGTTTGATTACAGTTGTTTTGAATGACAAAGCATTTGTATGTTACACATTTCCATATCGAAAGCACTTTTTCTATGTGGTTATGAACTTCAACTTCTATAAACAAGTGTTAATTGTTCCTCTCTTACAGGTCACCATCATACGCCACAAGGATTTTTATACACTTTCAAATATGCCTGTTAACAACACGGTGGCGCTTCACGCTGACTGGCGTCAAGATCAGTTTCAACCCAGTGTAAAGATGTCTTCATATCTGTTGGCATTTGTAATTTGCCAATTTCATGGACTTCGTGTTGTGGATTCCAAGGGAAGAAATGTGAGTAGTATGGAACTGAGTAGGCTTTTTCAAAGTATTTCCTGCTTATATCAGTGAGTATTTATTTATTATTCTGGTGTGTGAAGTAAGAATATTTGTGTATTTGAAAGGTACAGTCGGTTCTGTATGACGTTACTTTTTCTCCCTCTCTCTGATGTCATCATACAAATGCCCAGGTGATATTTCAAGATGGTGAGTGTCAGGTAAGGGCAGGTATGTGGTGCATACTTTTAATTCTTATGTTATACAGGCGGATAACTATAATTCTGTGTTTGTAAAGCATTCACTTGGTAACGAAAATTAAACAAACACGTTATGTTGACGTATGACTACGTGTGAACGAAAATGACAATGTTACAGTAAGGTGAGAGGTGTCTGAAATTTCCGCAAACAGAAGGATATTTCATCGACTACAGGTGCTTTATATGCAAATCTCTGAAGACATACAAAAAGTGACGTTAGGCTAAATACTGTCTGGGTTGTTAAACGCCAAGGAATCAGTAGCTCCTTCATGACTTTCCTTTCTGGAACAACAGATACTAGTGGAAGAATGTGTGTTTTCTCATCTTCCACAACGAATCATCAAGTAACGTTTAAATGATTACAATATCTCATGCACTTAAGACAATGTCATCCTCAGACTCATGTCTAATTAATTGTTTTCTATTCACCTTCCCCTCGAGAGATGGCCTGTTTGGCGTGTGATGTCACCCAAGGGTCTTCTCAGAGTGTGTTTGATCCATTTGTCTTATTTTGGGGTACTTGTTGGGCGATAGGTTCTTGGTTGGATCATTCCTAGAGTTCATTCTTTCCAATGCTTTCTGGGCATTTAAACTTCAGTATGTAGCCACGGAATATACGTTTGTCAGCACAACCTGACTCATCGTATGTGTTTATCACAAATCCACATCTGGTTTCTGACTATCAGTAAATATCTTAGTTACTTTATGAGGAGGTCATCTCATTCTCCTAAAATATTCATCTGTTTCATTACTTTATGTTCTTAGAATTTAATTGTGATGAGACTATTTGATTCCTTGTAGATTTCAGTAGACTTGATATTACAAAGTAACAGTTTCATCTTTCATCAGCTAAGTCAAAGTATAGAGATTGTCTCACAAATGGTGATTATTATTATTAAATTATTATTATTATTATTATTCACTTGGGTTCTGAGTGGAACATATGGCTTCAACAACAGATCTCCACTTCGTTCCGTTTTCTCCCGTCTTCTTCACACGGGTCCAGAATCAGCGATAATCTCTCATCTCTTCCTCACACGATCTCCTTCACGTCACCCTAGGACGACGCACTCGTCGCTTCCCATTTGGATTCCGTTTCAAGCTTGAGGAATTTTCTTCATAAAATTTTCTGTTTGCGTTTTTTAACACATCTGAAGTTGGGTGATATACAAAGCACTGTTCATTATCTTTTGCATTTAATCAGTTTACTGTTTGGGCAAGACCAGAGAAAATTGAATCAGCCAGGTATGCTTTGGATATCGGTAGAAGAATTCTTACATTCTTTGAAGATTACTTTGGAGTTCCTTATCCACTTCCGAAAATGGGTAAGTATTTTCTCTGTTTCGTTCTTTTCTTCTCTTCATTCATCTCTGGATTGGGAGGGGAATTATTCCGGAATTGGCTGAATATCATATCTTCCACTTCATTGTCATCAGATACACCTTCTGATTTATTGATTTACTTATTGATTGTATTCTTTCAATCCTTTGCATTTCTAGTGGAATATAGGGCTTCAACCCTGGAGCATTTTGAAGCTTCAGTAGTAGTGTTGTTGATTTTTTGCTGGTTGTAAGGTTCCCAGCTGAACCTACTTCGCCGGGACTACTATTGATTATGACAGGTTATCAAGTTCGTTGACCGGCGTTCGAGCCAGGTTCACTTTCGTTTTAGTTGGTGAGTATTTTGCCACTGCACCAACAGATACCTGTTTAAATAAAGTGTAAAGAATGATTGAAGTGGGATGTTGACGATATCCGGTGAGAACAATGAAATAAATTGTGGAAAAACACCCTCCTTTGAATTTTCTGTAAAGTTATTACTAATGATTTAGATTCTTTATTGTTGGTGTTGTCATCATCTTGCACATGTTTGACATACGTGTCGTCATTACTATTACTATTATTATCACTATTATTATTAATATTATTATCATTATCACTATCGCTGCTATCATTATTTATTTAATTTTTACATTTCCCTACAAACTCGCTGACTAATATGTCAGGGTAATTATTACGTTTCAAAGCTTCTCTTATATGCCTCACTTTCTGTCTTAGATTTTCTTTGGTACTACCTAGTTTTTGTGCTCTATTACTGAAATATTTCAACAATCCTGTGTTTACTGACATAGGATGGACTGACTGGAACCAATAAATAATGATAGTAGTGATACTGATAATGGTAATAATATGAATAATAATAGTAATAGTAATGACAACACCAACAATAAGGAATCTAAATCATCAGTAGTAATTTCATACAAGGAAGGAACCTCGGAAACTTTACGCAGAATTTTTAACAAGGCAGCAATGAAAGTGTCTGGCATGCAAACCAACCACAAACTCAATCAGAAACAAGCTTTGTCGGTTAAAGGATCCCGCCAGTAGAACCTTTAGAACAAAACAATTTAGTGTATCTAATACCCTGCCCGCAATGATTGTCAAGTCAAATACATGGGTCAAACTAGTAAAACAGGTGCAGTCAGTAAGACTATCCGAATATAAAAACCTACCAGCGAAATCCAGATTAGCTGACTCGAAAAAGATAAGAAATCTAGAGAATAGTTCAGCTATACCACTCGCTACATGCAATTACACACACACAACCATACAATAGGCTGGATGGGATAGGATGACAGTTTTGCAATCCACTGTGACAGCTGGGTGGAGGGAGAAATTGATGAGTGACTGTGGCTTTCAGGATTGCATCATGAGCTGACATTAGTTAGAGAACCATTGGAAAACCTGGGAGTACTGGACAGCTGTTTCGTCTTAGTTTGGGACTCTTCTTCAGCATACACCCACCACCATGGTTCGAACCCAGGACCTTCCGGGTACAAGGCGAGCTCGTATACCATTAAGCCACTGGGACCCGATCCAATGGTCCTTGAATTCTAACTCCTGCCAATTCACGACATGGTGCGACCGCTAGCCAATGTCTTCGGCGAGTATTTTTCCTCACACCCGACTCGCTGCACCCTATTGGTCACGACATCCCACTGGAACCGAGGTAACTACCTACCTGAATAGAGCCAGTCGCTTTATTTAATTAATCAACTGCAAACACGTGTAATGGGAATGATTCAACACCTATCCAGCTGGACATCTGGAAAATTCTACTACCCCAACCACGACAAATAGGAGAGAACAAAGAAAACTATAAAACTCAGGTTTTCAAGTCATATCATCATAACCGATATGATTATGAACAATAATAAATTGATTTTGAAACTGTCTTTCGGTAAGTAATACTGTTTCACCAACTGTGTGATATATCTAATAAACGAACTAATATGGAATTACTTACTACCACAGTGGCCAAGTTTTACACATATATTAATGTGACACCAATATAGAAAAGCTTTCCGAAAGATCATTTTTGATTTTCCTAATATCCTAGGATTATTTCAAACGAGTAGTATAATATATCGTTCAGACTCGGCGCTCAAATTCTTCTAGCAAATTTGCAACAGCTATGATCAGGATAACTACAAAAATAATTAGGCGGCGTGGTTCTCTAAAATTACCTTCGGAATAATGAAATAAAGATTGTGGACTGAGAAGCCTACTCAGAATTGTTTTTTTCGTTTGCATTTGAATTTAGATTTGATTGCAATTCCTAATTTTAAATCTGGCGCAATGGAAAACTGGGGTCTAATAACATTTCGAGAGAGTGCACTGTTGTGGGATCCGTATACTGGTTCAGCTGCATCGAAGGAATGGGTGACAGTTGTTATTATTCATGAATTGTCTCATCAAGTAATGACAATTTCATTGAATTTTGGCTTTTCCGGTCGATTGATTGGACTGAAGTGCTCAGCTTCAGGCTGACATGTGGGCTTCTTGCGCAGAAGCTTCGACGATGTCTGGGCATTAAATTAGTATTTAATTGTTGATAGTGACTAGCAGTGGAATCCAGGATGCGCATTTCGTCCTATTTGGGACTTGTCATCATCTGGGTGAACCTGCATTTCCCAGTGAGTGATGATTTTCCCACCAAAGCTCGAACTCAGTGACCGCAGCACAAGAGGTGGCTCTCGTGGCCCAAGTGGTCTAGTGGATAAGGCTTTGGCGTTGGAAACCATGGTCACTGGTTCGAGCCTCGGTGGGACATCATCACTCAATAAGAAATGCAGGTACATCCCACTGACGAGTCCCGAATAGCACGAAACCCGCATCCTGGATTCCAATGCTAGTCACCACCCACCAATTAAATGACAATTTCAATTTTATTAAATTTTATTTTTCTGTTGTGTATGTATAACTGTGATATACCCTAGTGCTGTTTGTTTCAATGTAGCATCGATGAAATGCTACACGATATATATTACTGATTGATGTGAGTAATAAGTAGTCATTCTCATTAGTCAGCCAATGCTCGTTAGCATAGGTGAATTAATCTTAACAAATTAATCAGTTCTGTTTTGGTGACGAATCACCAGTGTTTACTCTTGATGTTTTGAAACTACTTATATTAACCAGTAGTATAGTGAATGAACCTAAACGAAGATCGAAGTGTGAAAACTAACTGCCATCTGAATTTTTATTCATTTGCCCCTTGATCGGAAATACTTCTGGAACTGTCTTACCCAGTTACTTTAAATACACGAATGTACAGCCTAGTTTATGAATTTATCTTGAAGAAAATTTTCCTCACTCCAAGCTTCCGTTTAATTTAATTAGTAGTATATGTGTAATGACAGAAAACAAGGACCAGGCAGCAGATCATTTATTGAAAAAATCAACAGATGTTTATACATTTTCATGTACATAATTATTAGCGTTATTGTTAGCAGAGAGGTGACGTCTTCCGATTGGTCGATTTCCTGCTGAAGATTATTCTGTCATCTCCGTTTGTGTTGCCGTTTCTTAGACAGTCTGGTGATATATTTGCGAATCGTATCCGCCCACGCTAAATCTACTATGATTGGTTGTCAAGTCCCTCAAGGTTAGGCTTTGTTCTTGTTTTCTCTCATGACCCCGATTCGGGAGGTGAACATTGACGTCAATTGTTGTTGTCTACATTTTTTGTGGTTTGCAGACAGCTCTCACCACATATACTTATACACTGAAGGAAGGTGACTATGACTAACTTTCACATTAGATAGGGAAAAATAAAAAAAGATTTATTTTGGCGTGAGTGAATATTAAACAACAGCATTTTACATTCTTTCGGTTTTCAAATTTTAGTGGTTTGGTAACTTAGTGACGATGAAGTGGTGGAACAACCTCTGGTTAAATGAAGGTTTTGCAAGTTTTCTTCAATACACTGGTACAGACTTTGTTCAACCACACTGGAAATACGTAGGTCGCTGCTTTATCCTAATTATTTCTTATATAATTTACTAATTCCTATTGCAGCATTAAGAACACAATATTCAGCGAAGAGGCTCTTTTCAACGAATTTATCATCAAGCTGTACACCCGTATATATATATATATATATGTATATATATATATGTATATATGGTTTTATAAAGAAATTATATCCGGTGAGGGAATTACGTCAAAGGTGTGAATACATGAAATAGTCATAGTGTAACAACAGAAGACAAGGGCCAGGCAACAGATCGTTTTATTATGAAAATCAACACGTATTTATACATCTTTCAACTACATTATTATAGACAAGCGCAGTCATCTGATTGGTTGTTTAGGTAGACAAACGCAGGCTTCTGATTGGTTGTTTCGGGATTCCTTGACAAATAGAGTTCTCTCTGCGAATCATATTTTGCCACGTTAACTTTGCTGTGATTGGTTGTTGACTCAGGCTTGTTCATATCTTCTCACGGCCCACATTAGTGACCTAGACCTTAACGTAGATTAGTGCCAACCAATCGGCTAGCAGCCTGCTCTCACCACAATAGTGTTAAAATGCAATTAAAAAATTTGTGATTATAGTCATAGTTTCAAGTAAAGTGGCAAAATAATTAATGGGATATATAGAATAATACATAAGGTGTATAGATGTTGTTGTAAAGGGCTACATAATTATAGGATTAGCGAGCGAATATAAAATGTTACATAACATGGTGAGAAATTTGATAAGATAGAATTCAATATTGTAAAAATAAAAAAATTAATAATTTTGGGTTTAGAATGACAAGTGGGTCAAGTGGAAACACTTAAGAGTGAGAATAGTACTGATATTAATGATAATGAGAATAATCGTAGTAATAAGGGAAAAGTACAGAGAATAACTAAATAAACGAAATCAATAAATGTCTCTCTGCCTACGGCCAAGGCAGAAGTAGGCATTGCATATATTTCTTTAGTACACAAACGTTTGGCTTAAAGTCAGGAATTGCCATGGAACACCTGACCGA